GCTTCTATTCGGGTCTAATTTTACTATTAAAACATAGTAACCGTTTTCAGATTTTTGGATCCAAAATCGAGGGGTAGTTTCTATTCGGGGGTAGCTTCTATTCGGTAATATACGGTAGCTAATTTTTTGTGATTTTGTTGGATTTAGATTATGAGCACTATTATAGTTTACAGTGCAAGTTTAGGGCACCATAATAACTTTGAGTTCAGATAAGCTAAAATTTATAATCAATTTTTTGTATATAAATTTTCAGAAAATCAAGTTATAAGATCCATAAATCAGCACGAATAAGAAAATAATAATAGATACATGGATTTTTTTTCAATCAGTTAATAAATAATATTGACTGAATCAGCACGGACAATAAGCTAATGAAAAATGCATACTTTGTTTTCGAACAACAAATTATTTTATGCTTTCCGGTTAAATTAATCCAAATGCTTACTATTCTGTACAACTCATTTCAATCGCTGGTAAATATAAAGACCATTTATTAATCAGTGGAATTAAAATCGGTAAGACAAGTTCACAAGTCAAGATCATAATACCTACTTACTGGTATCAATACATACAAATTATTTCAAATCTCAGATTTTATTTTTATTATAAAATTAAAAAGTTTCTAGAGTTTAAAATTTATATATAATCAAAAAATTTGGTATTTAATATATAAAAAATATAGATATATATATATATTTAACCAATCAGAATTCATTATACAAAAGTTAGTCAATTATATTTGATTATATAATCCCAAATTTGATGCTTTTAAAAAATATTAGATATCTTTAGCTGTCTCATACAATATTGGTAAGAAGTATAGAAAACAACTAGTAAAAGATCAGAGTATATATAGCAGTTTATGTGTTGGGTTGGGTTGGTTCTATATCAGTATCAAGAGAACTATTGGTAGCTTTTTTTGCATGATTGAACCTATTAGGTAGGACAGTTAAAATGCAAACCTGCCTAGCTGTAGTAACTAGGGAATATAAAATAAGAAGCTTTGAATGATTGTAAAGAAATTAGAACTACTTTTTGTAAAAATGTTGAAATGAAGTAGCCAAGGAACCCTCTACTAGTTTTAGTAATTAGAAGATATATTAATTATCCTTTGCCTGAAATTAGTATAGTGTTATAGATACAGAATTTAGCATTAGTTGCTCCAGAATTAAGAATGATGTGCAGGCCAAGTGAACTATACAGTCTGAAAAGGTCTAATGTTGTAGAGAAGGATAGAAAGCTGTGAATTAAATCATGAAGCCAAAAACAAACTAGTTTGGTTTATCCTGATAAAGAGATCAGCAAGCAAATTGTATCTAGTAAAGTTGTTAGATTGTTACTTGAAGCTGAGACCAGCTACCTCACCAGAAAAGCCCCTGTTCTTGTTTAAGAGTGGAAAAAGTATTCGTTACAGCAGTTTCAGCAATAGTTAAGTGGTTAGCAGATAATGCTGGGCTGTATGGAAGGTACATGGCACATGGATTGAGAATTGGTGGCACAACTGCAGCCATGAAAGGGGAATGAAAATGGAGCAGATTTAGTCAATTGGTGGTTGGACTGCAGGTATATATGAGGGCAATTAGTACCACCGAGTTGGGGCTTCTAAGTTGATGGGCTTTGACTAGTCAAGAAAAAGGATAGGAGGTAATGTATGTTTATAACCACGCCCTCACATGGCGATACTCTGCAAAGACCCATAGTTGCTTTTCATTTGTAACACCTCTTGATGAGGGACAAAATTGGCTGCCCGATATGAAAGTATTAGAGCAGCATTTTCTCTCGAATCGATCACGGATATATTGTAATTGATGTTGATGCATTATTGTGATTTATTGTATAATTTTTCCGTTTGATGCATTACAGTAATTTATTCTCTGATTTCGTTTGATGCATTGTCGTGATTTATTGTATGATTTCGTACGCGATTTTATGACGTAATGACGTAGTATTTGAGATTAGTAATCGTTAGTAGTATGAAGGGAACGGGGTTTTTTCAGAAAAGGTAGCTTCTGTTTTTCTGCTAGCTCGATTTTGTCTGGTTTTTTCGCCCCGCCCTTGATCTTGCAGCGGCTTGGTGAAATGAGAGTGGCCTGTCGGGACGACAATCACGAAGGAGTTTTTTTGTTATTTACGTATATGGAAGTGGCCTGTCGGGACGACAGTCACAAAGGAATTTCTGGTGTTTGTGTACATAAAAGTGGCCTGTCGGAACGACAGTCACAGAGAATTTTGGTCTTCTTGTATTTGCGTACGTAGCACTCGTTCTAGTCTTGACGGGCATATTATTCAAAGGGAACTAGAGGTTTTTTCCAGAATAAGTTGTCTGGTTTTTTTTCGCCCACCCTCTGCGGTGGACAACACCCATCGATGAGGGACAAAATTTACAAATTATTATCGCATAAAATTTTGTGTTCCTGAATCCCGCGCGTAATGCGCGAGATTTTTTTGGATTCCGTGCGGGATATATTGTGTAATTCGGGTAGTGTCATAAATATGGCCGGGTTCTGAAATATTTTGTCACTCGATCGTGTAAACCCTACTATGAAATACACTATGTGGGATCTCGCCTCACTACTCACATGGTCAACAGCTAATTTCTAGCATCGCTTTTTTTTTTTCACGCTCTTTGATATCCGATTTGTTCAATCGGGCTATCAAACTCTCCTTTCGATATCCAGGCTGCACACCCGGGCTACCGAGATCACTTCCAACACCTCATTCTGTCTACAACCACTCAATCTCTTCCCCAGCGGTGGGGGGGAGGGTAGAGCTAGACTTGAGTCGAGCTAGCAGCAAAGACGAAAGAAGGCGAACAAATTTCCAATTTTTCCCCTTATATAGTCAATTTCTATGACTTCATACTTACCATCACTCATTAATCAAACAATACCATCATACGATTCATTAAACTATCTACCAAACTATTCATCATTCAATACATCATACTAACCTCACTAACCGCTCATCTGTATGGGTCCTGATCTCGTGACAAATGAATGCCCCGTGACTTCGTTCACGGCATTTCAAAAATCCATCCCGCGGATCACGCGCATCCCACGCGAGATTTTTAGAAAAACAGCAGATTGACCATCACTAGCATTAAGTTTTTTTGTAAATGCATACCGATTTTAAATAATTCAATTAACGGCTATTTATTCCCTGGCACGGTGGGAATAATTAATTATTTACCCGGATTTTTTCGGCTCCTATCGGAGCAGAAGCGAAAAGATCCGGTCGTTTTATTAATTGACGGCCGGGGGCTATTTCCCAACTGAGTTTAAAATTAAGTCTTGCAAAATAACACGTAGATCCCCTTAAAAAGCAATAAGCAAAACGGTGAATAAATTTACGAAAACAGCTATAATGTGGCGAAGAATCTCTTTGTGATACTTGACCTGAATCTTGATTGTCTGAATAATTTAGTGTAAAACTCCAAATCAACTAAAAAAAACTCCCAGCGCATGGACTCGTTATTTCATGATAATTATCACAATGAGACGAATCTATGGATCACATGGTACATTATATACGGTTAAATTCACATTATTTTAAGTGGGAAAGATCGTAGTGCCGTAGAATTGAGAATTATATCGATATAGTTTCAATTTACTTTTAAATTTAGGATCGTCATATTCACATGATGCGATATTCTTTCTCGAAAAGTATGGTTGCGGAAAAGAATGATGATCACCACATTTTATCTCATAATAATTTCATTAATGTCAAACCAAAAACTATCAAATTAAAACTGATATATAAATTTTACTCCATCTCTGAAGGTAAGTAGTATGATTATCCAGCATATATCATTTTACATTGTAAACATAAACTACTAAATAGAGAATTTGGGTCAGATGAGCCACAAAATATATTTTAGAGATTTTCTCTTAATTAGACAAATTTCGACATAATTTTAAACGATCAAAGAATTTGTACAAAATTTCATAAGTTTCAACCTCCGCCCGTGGGTTTCTAAATTTGGTTAGTAAAAACGTTACCAGAATTACTATATTACATTATGATAATATTTTGTTTACTGAGAGCTTTAGTCGAATCAGTCAAATGTTCACCGTATGCATGTATCTATCAAATTAATACCGAAAAATTTTGAAGAAATGAAATATATATTGACATATAATCAAGATATAATGATGAGATAAATTACGGAAATTATTTAGAAAAGGAAAGCCACCGCTATTGTCAGAGTTAATAAGATTCGTTCGCATTGTTTCTATTTTTACATAGTATATCTTTACCGAATTGATGATGATTATTTTTACATACAATACCTATATATAGTCATTAAATTTAATATTCTATAAAACTCGATTAAATTTTTGAAAAATTGTAATTAAACCTTTGATAAAGATTTTATTTTGTCTTATGAATAATTTATATAAATGAATCAAATTGATACGATCCCTATGACTGACGAAAACGTTATTATTAAAGCAAAGTACGTTGTTTATGGTGAATCAATTGCTCGTAAACTTGTTGTTAGCAAAGATATTAAATTAGAAGAGTTAGAATATAAGGTATAAAAATCAAAATTTGATGTTTGATGACATCGTAAATCATATTACTTAAACTATGTAAAACTTTTAACAGTTGCGTGAACGTTTCAATGTAAACTATGACAGAGGAGTTGAAATATATTATATAGACGATGATAACGACCATATTATTATTACTTTTGAAGATGAATTGGCATTGGCATTGGAATCTTCAAAGTTGCCAGTATTTGGATTAACCATTAAACCAAAGGTAATTATATCTTATTGTATCTTGATCTTTTTTTTTTTCATACATTAAATAGTAACAGATTTTTAAAATGATAATTGAATTCTCCTGAATAGAACTTTGATAAAGTTTGTACTTACCCGCGTCTTGTAAAAGGCAAAATTGGAGAACTTATTGAAGTTTTAATTGAATCACGATGGCTTACAACTAGCAATGCAACAAGAGAAGACACTATTGCTTGGGGAACTGATATTTTTACCGATGATTCAGATATTTTAAAAGGTCAGCCTTATTTCATGTTCTTGATTACTTTATTCTGTGTATGTTTTGAAAAAAAATATGCTCTATATATATAGCTGTAACTCATTCGGAAAAAGTAGATTTAACTGACATACCGCCTCGACATGATTTAATTGTAACCATACGTTTCCTCCCTGGATGTCTTAAATATTCCGGTTCAGCACGTCAAGGAATAAATACATTGAGTTATGGCCCTCATGAATCAAGTTACATTATTGAAGAAGTTAGAATTATTCCTATTTCCAACGAAAAATCTGAACATCATCGTTATTATGATCAACATTATGATACAGCTTCGTATTAACGAAATCATTAATATACGGACGCTCATTAGATGAGTATAATTAATTGGTGCACTATAATTTTCATGCTGATATTATTAATTTATTTAATCATTTATTGTCTGTTCCTTTATAACATTTCACTTCCTATTACTTATTGTGTTGGCAAGCTTACGTTTTTACTCGATTTTTTTTTGTAACACATAATAAAAAATATCAATAATAATTAAATAATGCTAAATAAACGTACATACGCACAAAGTTACATACTCCTTGCTATAAACTAGCCAATTCAAAATATCTTTCAACTTTGCCTCTTTGTGCTTCCCATTGGTCGTAGGAGGTTAAGTGATGTTTATAATTATAGCATGGCAAACAAGAAATATAAAAGAGGGAAAGTAAAATTAAATTATAGTGATGCTTATTTTTTATGTAAGTTTAGTCTTCAGTATAAGAATAAATACTATTTATAAACCCAATAATCAATATGCAGAGATTTATCACTTTGTTTTGTAAATATATTCTATGGAGATTTATAAACTTTACAAACATAGCGTCACGGGTTAAAAGTGGCATTTATGAAATTGCGCCCCAAGAAGCTTTGGATGTTCGTCTGTAAAGGATTAATCAGTTAAAAGTTAATTAAAAGACATAGCTTGGGTAAGGTTGGCTACGGCATTTATTTGCAAGTTAAGGGCACATAAGAATATTAACACGATAATTCCCTTTAATTATATGACCATAGTCACATCTCTGTCGCCGTTATAAGGTCTGATTCACTTAGTACTTTATTTGCTTACTGAAAGTACTTTGTAGAAACTGCTAAATATGTTATCATAAAATATAGTACCCTGTTAATGTAGATCATTTTAAACTTTGATCGAAGATATCTCGATATCCGGGTCAGTCGACGTACGGATTTGCCAAAATAATATTTTAATGTGTATTATCGTCATATATAATCCTATTGATAGATTCCAATTTTACTAAAGCTCTTGCCGAGACAGTGCGGGCAGTTTCTGATAGGTCATGAGTCAAAAATTGAATCAAGTAGTATGCACTTCACATACACTTCTTCAGTTCTTTCTGACAGGAAGTACGTATGTTTATACATATCGATCTAGTAAAAAATATTTTTCTCTGTCTAATGTGATGTGCGGATGTGAGGAAATTTTCTTATTTTAATATGAAGAAAGTATGTGATCATATGAGTGCGCACATACTTCTCAAACTGAAATTTTTACACTGGTAACGTAACATTATATATAGATTACATTCCATAAGAGCACATTCCATTAGAGCACTTTTTCCTAATTACATACATTTATGGCGGAGTAGATCTTATAATATATATTTATTGAATTAACTTTAGAATTAGAAATCATCTTTTATTAGGGATAGATTAGGTTTAAAACCATTATATATAAGCAAAATTGCCTTCCCGACATTTTTAATTAACTTACCCAAGGTAGGTTTAGACTGTATTTTCGGGTTTTTCGCTTTATTTCTTGTCTTGTTTCGCCGGGGATCATCAAGTTCTACAATTTGATTAGCCATATTTCACATGGTTCTGCTCCGCCTTAGATGGCCCCCAAAAATTGACGGTATTGTATTCAAAAAAAAAATCAACTCTGATTTCGAAATGACGCATCCAAAATGGCGCTTATACGGTACAAACTCCGAAAAGATCCGATTTAAATATTTGTTGGTATGTTTAGATATGCTACGACGGGCACACATCATGTATGATCCATATGACTCGTTGACCCGGGTCATAACCCGGGTCGACATTTGACCCGTCCGGGTCGTTATTTTCCGACCCGGGTAATACCTCTACAGCTAACCAAATTCGATAAACTTTTTTTATATAGATTTTGGTGATTTCTACAATTAAAAGAAAAAAAATGTTCATCGAATTTTGTCAGGTGGGTGTTGAGAAATCTTCGATCAAAATTTTGTAAAAATTTGAACGTCTATCAAATAGAAGATTGCTTTTAAACTTTGATCGAAGATATCTCGAGATCTACCTGACCAAATTCAATGAACTTTTTTTTTATTCAAATTCTGGTGATTTCTAAGATTAAAAGAAAAAAAGTTCATTGAATTTGGTCAAGCTAATGTCAAGATATCTTCGATCAAAGTTTTGTAAAAATTTGAAAGTCTATCAAATAAAAGCCGCGTTGAAGATTGATTTTAAACTTTAATCGAAGATATCTCGACATCCAGTTGACCAGATTTGATGAACTTTTTTTATTCGAATTCTGGTAATTTTTACAATTAAAAGAAAAAAGTTCATCGAATTTTGTCAGATGGGTGTTAAAATATCTTAGAAAAAAAAAATTAGAAATAGAGGTCCAATCCAGATAAAGTATCTAATTATCCGGCTAATCCGACAGGTCAATAGTAAATGGATAGGAAACTCTAATTACAGCTGTTTTCATTATTCCTGGGACACCTATAAAAAATTAGCCAAATGATTTTTCGGCCGATCCGGTTAAGTTATTTTTTCAGCATGATTGGTATATTTTTAATTCGTCCTATTTTTATTTACTGTCGTCCAATTTCAAAAATTACCATAATAAATATAATACTTGTTTTGCAAATTATTTTATTATTATAATGTCAATATTATTAAAATTTCGTTTGAACACTTGCCCAATATATTTGGTGTGTTTAATTTGTGCGAAAGTTTATGAGAAAGACTGTTCTTGTCATCCAATAAAACTTGATAATAAATATAAAAAAGGCTCCAGATATCAAATTAGCTTTTATAATAAATATATTATACGAATATGTACTAATATTAAAAAAGTTAGATATGATCAAGAATTTGTCGATTGGACTAAAAATTCAACTAAAAGTCGTTAAAAATTATAATCAACAAAATCAAAGCAAAACAGTAGGTCTAACAATTAAAGATTCTCTAGAATTTTTATCAAATACTTTTAAGTTATCTGACTTGTTTGAAGTGACTGCAACTGATTCAGAAATTAATTGGATATTATTAACATGAAAGAACCTGAATCAGAAGCTATTAATACGAAAGAGCCTTTTATAAAATGGTTAAAGTTTATAAAATAAAAATATGCATAAATATATAAAATTTTACTTTTTGTGCATATATCCAAGTCAGTGTATAGCCCTCCAAATTGTTGTAAGACTAATGTTATGTCTCAATCAAAGTTCCATCTCGGATTGTAATTCAAACAAGTACCAGTAAGGTTTTCTTTCATTAAAACTTTAAGATAATTTATATTATTCATGTTTAAAGAACGTGGTTTTCCTGAAAGCGATGGAAGTTTCTCAATACAACCATATATACAAGAACCCAACTTATAGAAGACGTGCTAACACCTAAGTGTTTTGCAATTTTTTGAGTTGTTATGCCTTCTAAATTTTTTCAATAATTTGCTAGCGAATGTAGTTTGAAAGTATCATATTTTTTGAATTCAACAAGAGATGTGCCACCTGATTTTAAATTATGCATATGTATACAATATTGGGCAAAAATTGTCGAATAACGATAATTTATAATCATAATTGGTAGGGAGTCGCTCACTAAGTTTTAACTGGAATAAACATAATTACATCGTATCATATGAAAAAATAACAAAAAGAAATTTTTTCATAATCATATGAGTTTGCCAGATAAATTACAGTATTATATGGAAAAAATAACAACCAAGTAAAATTCGCCACCTAAATTTATTTCAGATCACATGATATGACTGTTCAAAACAAAGTGGTGATACTACTAATTATCTAATTATTACGTACTAATTTTATATGTATATTAAATTTATGCATTTTTTTAAATTCTTTTATGTTCAATATTGAATTTGTAAGTATAATGAAACAGTGCAATTGTTGTTATCTTAACAAGCCTAATGAAACTTTTCAAAGTAACCAAAGTTCTAATGAACTAAAAACATGTCTTAAATGTCGAACTCAAATTTCTTCAGAAAATAAAATAAGAAATAATAAAAAACAGAACAATATAATAAAAAATCAAGAAACTGCAGTGGCACCAGAAATGCTTAAAGATTATATATTCGAAATGGTTCCAACTAATTATAAGTCAAATTATTTATTTGAAAAAAGTTTTTTTGTGACTTTGGAGCTATTAATAAATCTAACTGATATAGATTCAAGAAAACAAGATAGTGAGATTGCTCAAATTTTAATAAGTCGAATTTCTAAAGCTGATTGTTTTTTTTGGATTTATCACAAATATCAACCAACAAAAAATACAACATTATTTGTGTATTATTGTAATAGCTGTGTAGAACTAAAAAATAAAAAACTATATATTAGTGATGTTTCAAAATGGCATGATACAACTTCTCAAATTCATCATCATAATTGTGGAGGCACAATTCGAATAAGTATTGACCAAAAAAATAATTTGGTTGCAATTAATATTTATCATTACCTTTACATACCACCTGAAGCAACATTTATTACACTACAAATACAGGATTATATTGTTAAGAACCATTTATTAACAGCTCTACAACTCTATGAAAATATTAAAAAAAAACAAATTAATAGATTTTTACATATTACTCGATATCAAATCTATTACTGATTTAAAAAAATTATTGGAAATGAATATAAATTGGCAGGCGACCAACTAGAATCTGCCAAATTATATTTAAATAATCATTTAAATTTTAAAGTTCTTTTTCAAGACAAATACTCAATAGCTTTTTTAACACCTTTAAAGTTTATATTATCAGATTATGTTACAAATATAATTGTTGTCGATGCCATATATGAAACTAATTGATTAAATTTTGAATTATATAAAGTTCTTGGAATTATTAATAGTTCTGAATTTCTACTATTATATTTTTTTTTAAATCTGAAGTGTCCAAAAGGCAGAATACAAGCATTAATAGAATAGGACCCCAGACATCTCTCATATAGATCATAACTGATCTGTGTAAATTTGGGAGGTTTTCACTACCCCTAAAATCAAGTGAATTTGCTAAAAATTCAATATAATATATAAATTTTATAG